GCAGTGCTTAGGCTGGATGGTTTATCAAGTCTGTTTTAATGAAGGAGTTATTGGACACAGTTATAACTCCCCATGTCCTCCTCAGTTGAGTATTAACACAGAGTTCTACAATTAATGTGCGAGTCCACTTCTTTAAAAAAATCAATTAATTAACTAACTTCTCTACATAGCTAACATAAAAGTGCACTCGATATGTGGCGTGACTGTTGACCTTTTGTGTTGTCTCACTTATACTCACTAAAACATCTCCTAACATTTCCAAACCATTTGACCCCACTGGAAAATCTCCTAATGTCAAAGAAAGATGTGAAGAAGAATCTGTAAGGAGTTAGGAAAAAAGAGACGCACGGTCCGAACCAAGTATATCGTTTTCTGACCTGTTTGTTGAGTGGATACAATTTTTTTTTTGTGCCCAATCAAGGGATTAACATGACATTTATCTTTGATGATGATATAGATTAAATATGCTTATTCTTAAACATGACACCTGACTGAACAGATGTGACAGAGGAGAAATCAGGAGCTCAGTGTGAGGATTTACATCAGTTCTGGATCTTATCACAAGAATACAACTGCTTTTTTATGTTTATGTTCATTTGCACTGATACAAATGTTGCGTTGCTTAAAATGTTGCTGCCTCATTGAATTGGAAATATTTTCCACATATATCAAATAGAGTATTTTTGTAGTAAGATAGTTAGATTTGTTATTTGTTATTGTGATCACAGTGAATGGTAATGTGGTGATAACTCTTTAGCACCAGCTAATTAATACAATCCTCTTTTTGACGTATTCTGGTAGCTCAGGTCCGACCTCAGCATCTCAGGGACTTTTTTGTTTATTCTCGGAAGTCACTGCAAACATGTAAATACTTATTCAAGCTATAGTACATGAAAAAATATATGTATAGTTAGCAACTCTCTGTCTCTCATGCAAAATCGCATCCAAATATGTTAAGTAGCTTCATTCAATCTCAGCCAGTCCTCAAAAATGTCAATATCCTTCCTTTGATGAAAACACAAAAATATGTAAAACAAAGCCATATTTTGGCTTTTGATGGTTGTTATGTTAACCTGCATGCGTGTCAGCGTCAGAAACATGAGTAGGTCTGCAGGTGGCATGGAGAGAAGGAGACCTCACCTATCCATCTCTCTGTGTTTGCCAAGTGAGCAGCGTGTGGGACAGCAGTTGGTGAGTGTCTCATTGCATGAGTGCAAATCTTCCGTGTGTGTGTGTGTGTGTGTGTGCACACTGCCAGGAAAGGGAGCCTACCAGCATAAGGATTGCATCGACTGAAAGATAGGGAGGAAGAAAGTAAGAAGAGCAAAGCCTGGAAATCTTCAAAATGAGAGGGCCTCTTTTGATGTGTGTTTGCATTCCTTTCAGTGTTGGTGAAAGGGGAGCCGCTGAACGGTAGTGGAGGAGAGGAACACTTGAAACTGAACGAGGCGCTAAGGAAAACACAAACCAGGTCTCATAACAAAAGTCCTGCGGTAAATTAACAGCGAGAAGTAGATCGGTTGGAAAAAAAGAAAGATGAGTCTGAGAGACTGTTCTCCTTAAATGAGTAGTAATCTGCAAATGGAGGAAGATAATTACTAATTACTATTCATTTGTCAAATGGAATACATGTCTGTTCTATTTTTTCTGGTAAAACCTCCAGAAAGGAGTTATTCTGCACTGGAAACAAATGGAATCATCCATCGCTTTTATGATTTTAAGACTGACCTTGGCAGGAGAAAACATAACAGTGACTTTCCCCATTACCTCAGTCTATTTCCTGTGCCTCATGTGGTTAAGTGGCATGTCTGGATGGTCCATCAGAGTCAGGGCTGGTAGAGGAAAATCAAGATGTGCAATCTCTGCTATAAACTACACTCTTCACTGTCAGTATTTCTGTCCTGTGCAGTAAAGAACAGAGGGACATTCTCTGCTGCCTGTTTTGGTTATGAATCATTAAATATGACAATTTTACAGTCCTGCAGTCTTCCTGTTGTGGGTGAACTGTGTTTGAAAATAGCACAGAAGAATTTGTTGAGTTTATTAAATACAAGACATATTTCTTGGCTTGTGTGCTCACTAACAGAGCACTTGAACCTGCCGTCTCGTCTGGGAAACACACACACACACAGATTCTTCTATAAACCTCATTTAAATGTTTGTAAGATAGAGACATTTTTTATGGAAAAAAGTCCACTTTTGTGGTTGTGTGGCAGGAAGAAGGAACAAGAACAAAGCAGCCTCACTGTAAAATGTTCGGATATGGTTAGTCCAGCCCAGGAAAAAAGTAGCTTTGCATTGAAACTGACTGAATAAATCATTTAAAGGAGTAATCTGAGAGATTCTTTTTTTACTATGGTGTTTTTACTCTGCACTTCCCAGCATTCCCTTCAAACAGTGAAGTTGATCCTGTGGCATCTTTTCCCAGCCTTTAGACAGTCTGTGCAACATCACTTCTCATGATCGGAGTTTTCGTGACATGGCTACGGATAAGAGATGCCACATCAGACACAACGTAAAGTGCAGAGTTTTATTTGCATGATTAGAAAACACCATTTGATTTATTGAGAGTTTGGTGAGTGTGTTTTGTGAGTGGTGGTAATACTGCCCCGCTCTCTTAAGCTTCCATGACACCAGAGGGTGGGGTAAGGAAAGGGTAGAATGGGTGGGGGCTTATCGTGCCACAACGGACTGCCCAGCCAACCAGAAGATGGGAAAAGAAGCACACCCTTGTTGTTTGCTCGCCTTTGGCCCCTGCCATCTGTCCACTTGGCTCCTGACACCTGTACCAGCCTGTCAGAGCTGGGCTTTCCTGTCATCAGGGGCAACGCAGGGTCTGGCCTGTAGGGAGACACCGAGCAGCGGGGCAAATGTAACAGCTCCAGAGAATTATGGGAAGAGGTGGGTGGGGGTGGTTTAGGGTGAAATTGGGGCCACTACTTGAGAAACACAAACCTATGGCACTTTTACTCACGCATTTTTTATTTACTTATGGATTCTCTTGACTGGTTTAAATGTTTAGCTTTTTGGTAAATGGCCTTTGCAGGTACTTTTACCCCAAATCTGTCATCAAAGTATTGGATTTAGCTTCAGAGGCAACGGCAAATAGTTGGTATGGAAACAGCTATTCATACGGTGCCAGATGTTCATCAGTCGGTGATGTTAAGGGGAGGATTCGGTTATTTTTAAGGGGCAGGCTGCTTGAAAGGCAAATGTTGTTGCTGTGAGCACCGATGTGTTCATGTGCACACCTTTTCTGAGCCAAAAGGGTTCACTACCAAAAAGAGCCGTCTCTCTAGCCAAACTCTGCGATACAGGCCCATGAAGGAGCACATTAATCACTGAAGTGATGTCAGAGTGACAGAGGCATCCAAGACGAGACGGCTCCCTGGCTATAGCTTGAGGACTTTTTGGCACCAGAAAAAAAAGAAACAGATGCAGCTTAAACCTGTTAGTCGCCCACCTCTAATCGGCTTACACTGGCTCGGTGACAGGCGACTGGCACCTCGGAAGGGTCACAGACATGGCTGCTAGTACATACACCTCACAATAAAGGACAACATGTTGGATAGCCGCATGAAACCAAAAACGGCACTTTACACATTCGGCATCACTGAACAGTCATGGTTAGGCTTTAGTGACAGGATTCTCTGTGCTCATAACTATTTTCATTTATACCATCTCATGTTTTAAAGATTATGTTTTCAGTATGTTCATGTAATCCTCCATCTTTTTCTGACTCCAGAGAAAATGAATTTGCAAATTGCTGTTTCAGCTTGTTGTACCCAAGTCAAGCCATGAAGACTTGTTGTGAAAAACCTGGAGGATGCAAAATGATTTCTTTGCTACGCTCGGTTACGTTTTTAACTAAGCAACTTCCCACAGCCGCCAACAGGTGTGAGGAGCAAAGAGGAGCGCTTCATTAAATGCCTCAAAGCCTTCAGACGCTGGAGTAAAATAATGATGTGAGCTGACCTTACATGGACAGACCCCCCC